TGCTATATGTATCGTTGAATTACATTTTGTTTGTGAAGGTCAGAGGGCCCCTGACAGTTTAGTAAGAATATGATGTACAATAAGAAGTCAACACATTTAGCCAGGGTAATGTGTGTTTCTCTGTAGGTGTTGACTGGGCAGTCACCTTATTGGGCAGAGCGTTAGTGGGCAGCTGCTGTAGGGTTTTCTGCATTCAGAGGTGACTTGCGAGTCCCTCCTCCACTAGTTTCTACTTTGGTATGCACTGATGTAGGCCAGCACCATCTAATTTCTAGCAGTCAGTTTGTAGGCGTATGTTTGGAATGGGGCCATCCAAATGTATCATCCTTAAGTCTTCAAGCGTCACGTCACCCACTGTGGGCCTGGACGTTTTTCTAAAATCATTTTCAATTCTTTCTGCGTTTCACTACAAACATACCTGCAGTGAATTCTGCCCGACATGTCAACACAAGTAAAATATCTCCTCTTCGACATATTCATTCTTCATGTTGCAATGTCACTGAAAAGATGTCAATGAAATTTGTATAAATATATTTGATGTATTTTGCAGCTATCTCATTTTTTCATAATTTAATCGATGGCATAAGCTCCCAGGTCACAAAGGAAAAATGTTTACAAGGTGACAGTGTTGGATGTTTTGAAAAAGGCTATTTAAGAGTTGTGAGTAAGCGAGATATATTCAGATCCTTTTTTCAAGTAAAAGTGCTACAGTGTAGAAATAGTCGAGTAAAAGTATTATCTGCAAAATGAACCACTTTGTTAAAAGTAGAAGTACTCATAATTAAGAAAAAAGGCAGTAGTGGGCGTCATATTATTACATATTATATTATTACTGATACATTAATGTGCAAGTAGCATTTTACTATTGCAGATGGCCACGATGGAGCTAAATGCTACTTACTACTTACAGTTTGGTACAACTGTAAGTAGTACAGTTGTACCAAACAAAAGATTTGTGTGAAATCTGTAATGTAACTGTCAAAACAATAGAGAGAAAAAGTGTTTCCCCTGAAATGAAGTGGAGTAGAAGTATAAAGTTGTATAAATCATAAATACGGGAAATACTGCAAAGTACAAGTACCTCAAAATTGCTAAAACAGCTAACGTTAGCCTGACTCTCTCCAATCTTCAAAAATACACTCACAAATGTCTCTATAGCAGAGTCATTAACTCTTTGCGTCTCATTTATTAAATATGTAGACAAACAGAAAAAAGCAATGGCAATTTTCTTTTTTTTTTAAGGGGAGCTTTGTGCTTTATGTCTTGGGGAGAAAACAGTTAAGGTGAAGCACCTAAACACTGCTAGTCCTGGAGATGCCTCACAGAAGTGCTGGGCAAATGCATGAACTGTTGTTTGTACAGCGTGTAACCCCCCATAAAACCACCACACGTTCTTGTATTTTCGTTTGTGTGCAAGTTAAACAAGCGAGATACAACATGTTAAGTAGACAAGTGCTTTTATTTGATCAAACATTACATCAGTGTTAGTTGCAGACTCGCTTGACTGAGATCTGAGTTCTCTTTTTCTAGTTGTTAATGTATTTATTTAAGATCTATTGAGAATATTACGTCACATTTAGTCTTTAATAACTTGTATATTATGTAGAAAGAACTTCAAACTTGCTAACTTTATAATAACACTAAATTAATCTTGATTATATATCAAGTGAGCTGTTATTGTCTCTGTGCCACAACATCAGGACAAGTTCTTCTGCATTTATTATTACATGTGTTAAAAGATGTGACCTCATGAACCCAGGCACGTCCCTCCAAGCACACTGTCATTACCTCTTTATTTATTACTAGCAAGCACAGATTCACTGCCAGGTCACTGCACTGTCCTCTCTAAAATGTAATTACCAAGAAACTTCAATTAGCAATGCATTTAAAAAATATATATTATTTAGGGGGTGTTATTGCCTTCATTGGACAGATGAAGAGCGTAGTGGCCGACTGGAAATTGGGAGAGAGAGAGGTATGTCATGCAAAGGTCCCACGGTTGGAATTGAACTGAGGACGTGTGGTTTCGGTCCCATTTGGTTCGTTCAACACAAGTCTCTGTGTTTTGTAGGGCTGTCCTGAACACCATTTTTGGGGCTTCGAAGCAGCCCACTGCTCCCTATATACAGGGATGGGTCAAATGCAGAAGGCAAATTTCGTGTATGTGTATATGTATATGACAATAAAAATGGTTTCTTCTGGTTTCTTCAGAGAGAAATATTCAACAATATTTGAAGCTTTGGCAGGGAGGGTTCACTTGGCTATATGTTACAGAAATTGCGTTTCTAAAAAGTATATCTCTCTCACACATATCTTATCGTGTGCAAGCTTACACACACACACACACACACACACACACACACACAGAGAACCTTCTCTTTAAAGCATCCGTCGCCTCTCACCCTTCACTCTGTCAGTCAGTGAGAGAAAGATTGTCTGTAGATTGTGTTGGAGTAATAAACCTCGGTAAGCCTGTGCATTAAAGCGACGGGTGGGAGGGGGGACGACAGCGACAACACAAGCTGTCAAACTGTCTTCAATCTTGCGGCCATTATGTACTTTTTGTACTAGACTTTGTTATTATTGTCTAACAAGAGATGAGGACAAAACTCAGAGGACTTAAAGGATTTTCCTTTTTATTGAAACAAAAACGGCTTCAAAATGTGCAATAATCACTTCAAATAAATTACATTGAGAGCACGTAAAACCGAATTTGCTCACCTTAAGGCCTTTAAACAATAAATGGAATGTAGCCTATGTCAGCATAAGACATAAAACAGCTGGCTTTCAGTCTATTGATCTCCACTGCATTTCAGTACCCGGGACAGTGCTGAAGCAACGCACACAAAACACACACACTCTACACACACTCTCTACACACACACACACACACACACAACAGGCACACTCTCTACACACACAACACACTCTACACACAACACACACACTCTCTACACACAACACACTCGCTACTCACAACATATACACTCTCTACACACACACTCTACACACAACACGCACACTCTCTACACTAACACGCACACTCTCTATACACAACACACACAACACACAGCGCTAATTGTGATTATTTGGGTAAAGCATATACGGAAAAAAAACAACAGAAAAAAACGGTGGAAGCTTTGAAGCGTTTGAGTCCGTCTTGGTGTTTTGTAATCTCTCCTTCACCACAGCTGCTCACCATCTTGTTATCTGAGTAAAGAGACACTCTCTCTGACCTTTTTAGCAAATGACATGTGACTTAAAGTTTACATGACGGCATAATTTAACGGTTGAGTAACTCAAATGCGTCACTAGGGATTTGGTTTCACTGATAATCTCCTCCACAGGATGCAATGTTATGATAATCAGGTTAATCATTTGTGTGCATTGAAGTGGGCTCATGAAACCTAAAGGGGATGCAATTTTGGAATCACAAAATGTATTAAAGTGTGAATCATTTCCTTAAATCCATAATAGTTTAGTTTGTCAGGGACACAGTGTTTACGCTCTGACAACTTGGGTTCAGAAGCAGATATTTATTATGGTTGCATAAATCATGAAACGGTCAGAGGTCAGGTCAGTACAAGTGAGCCACAGAATATTGCTGCCAAAGACGATGGGATTCAGTGTATTTGTGTATACTTATGGCTGCAGGGGATTAAAAGGTCTGTCTATGGTTTCTCAACTTACATACTGCTAGAATGTTTACTTTTATTTAACCATTTAAGTGCCATCTCAAGCTGAAACTTCTTTTGCAAGAGCAACCACGCCATTATGTCAGTATGAAAGGTTGTATGTATGTAGAAATGATGTTTTAACACCTCAACGTCTCTTTTACTGATCTCACCAGGAACAGATTTCTGTGTGAACCATTTTCTTCCAAAATTTTAATCAACATCAAATCTGTTGCCACAGTTTAACTCTATCCTACAGTTTTAAAAGAATCAAGCTTTAAAATGCAACAAAAATAGTCAAAACGTCAGTGTTTTTTTGTTTTAAATGTATTTTGTATCAATGTAGTTGAACCCCAAAATGTCCAGTTGCTGGTTTGAAATCTATCGAGATGAGGCTCCACCAAAACACCTCATTCTGTTACAGAAAATGTGTTTTTCCCTGTAGAACAGCAGTTGGTTGCACCCATAAACTTGAATATAAGTATATATGAGCTCACCAGGTATAACTACAGCTTTCAACCACTAGCCACTGAGCAGCTCCACTCGAGTGGACAGGTGTTGAGTAATCTTAGTGGTGGTTGAGGGAACAGAGAGTGTTGCTCTGGTTATTCAGCCTGTTCGTGGATTTCAGTGACTTGGCAGTAAACACTGTGCATTTCTGACAGTGAGACTACTGCTGCTCGATACAGTGCTGCACATCTTAAAGTGGCAGATAGCTTTCCTTTAATGTCATATTTCAAGCAACTTTGATCTGGACTTTTTACCAGTTCCTGCAAAAAAAAAAGGCAACAAATTATAAAATAAAGTGAAGAAAATGAATTATTGAGATTAATAGTGAACAAATGTGATATCAGTATTTAAATAATTTGCTTCTCCAGAACAGTCAGCTATTCTTGCCTTGATGTAACAGGATGCAATAGCATTTTTATACCTTACAGCGACTTTGTTCTTATTGGCTTTCTATTCTTTGTCGGTCTTGTTTGTGATTAAAACAGGTCAGCTCTTCAGGACAGGCCCAGTCTCTGATTGAGAACATATTTCATGTTTTAGTGCTAAAAAATGAATCAAGTCAGTTTACTTTTCAAATGATATTGAACTTTGCTAATTAAAGGTGTTTTCATGTTTGCATTTCCCTGGTTTGCATCAGATTTGTCTCCGTTTCTTTATGTTCTACAGTACATGCAGTTGTACTTTAGACGAACTATCAGAAATCATTAATTATTTTACGTGGAAAGATGAAAATGGGACAAAGGGGTTCATCAGCATTGAAGAAAGTGTAATGTACTTGCAGCCCTCCCTCACTGTGTCTGTCTCTCTTGTTCTCAGGGGAAGTTGGTGAAGTACTTCAGCCGCCAGCTGTCCTGTAAGTGCAAAGTGGCCTTAGAGGAGCGCAGCGTCGAGCTGGAGGACTTCCCTCGCCTCGGCCACTGGTTCCGCATCGTCAACCTGAGGAAGGAGGTCACACAGGTAATATATGTCCTGTTTTAAAGAGATGCTCATCTTCTCTCCCAAAATTACAATGTGAGAATGTAAGAGGATGTCGCTCAAATCAAAACCCGGGTATCTTATGTACAGATCAGCGCTGTCAGAAAAAACACCCCCTAAAGATCTGATTGAATCATTTTCATAATCATCAAACCATCCGGTGACTGCTTCTGTCTTTTATGGAATTATCTGCATTTGTTATGTAATTGTTCCATTAATGATCTATTAATGCTTCAATTTCCAGGCATTTTTGCTCAATTGACAGGTGTCCTTGGCCATTACAGTCAGCCATGATGTTTGAAGCTTGTTTGGTTAATATGAGAGCGTAACAATGTGTGTTGTATCTTGTGTCATGTGTTTGCTTATGTGTGTGTGTGTTTTGCAGGAGATGAGCCCAGGCGAGGTGACCCTGGAGGGCCTGCTGGAGAAGAGCGAGGAGCAGGTGTGTGAGCTGCTGCAGAAGTTTGGTGCCAACGAAGAGGAGTGCGCCCGACTCAACGCCTCCCTCTCCTGCCTCGGAAAGGCCCACCAGCTCGGTAAGGGTCCACCCGACATACACAGAGATGAGCTCACACATCCATAGAAACACCAGCCTTTAAATGTCCTGAAAGGAAAGTACGAGTGTCCTATAGAGTTATCACTATTTACCACTATTACGTGTAAAAGTACATTCCTTATTCATTTAAAATGGTGTTTAGCACAGTAAAGGCTAAACCAGGTAAAACAACAAATGCACCCTAAAGAATATAGGGTGCATTAAATAATATTTAAATTTTGTAAACTTATGTACGATAGGAGCATTAGGAGACATCTGTTCATATAACACTAATGTCACATCACAAACATAGTATATACTACCACATTATATACAAGTAATATAGAGTTCAGATTGTGTTTGTGTCAATGATGCAGGTATTGAAAAAGAAAGCTCTGTTAAGACTATTATCCATACATCTACATAATGAACTATAAGTAATGGTTGCAGTTTATTATGCCATGACACAAAGAAACAAGGTTTATTAGTGATCTGTGATGTTACTTTTGAATTCTTCAAAACATTTATATTTATTTATGATGTTTTTGTTTATGGACTGTGAAATCAATACTAAAATTGACAGCAGTCATCAGCTGTAGTTTGATGCATGTTGTGCATTTGTTAACATAAAGGTAAGAATTCATAGGATTTAACAAAAAAGTTCATTTCTGATTTCAGTCAGAAAGCTTTGCTTTATTTAACCAGGCATTCATACAGTTTAAAACCATTACCAACTGTTTGATTGTCATATGTTAGTCAGTCCTAGAGATGAATGCGCAGTACTGTTCATGTATCTGTAGGTGGCACTGTTGTCTTCATATGTTCAGTCACAGTAGTTCAGCCCTGCTCTTTATTCTCAACAATCTGTAAATTAAACTGAATCACTTGTGTGCCAGACGGTTCATGTTTTTATCAGAAATCAGACGCCACCTGTTTAGAGCAACAGCTTTCATGGTGTCGATAAATACCTACTACGTTATTATGAATCATCATTACAGCAATCATTGGTGGCAATTCAAAAGATTAGTGGGGTTTCTACATCAAATTCCTGCGTCACAGTCATGTGACCGTGTGAAATAATCAGTAATGGACTTATGTCAAGGAGGAACCCATGCGTCTGCATGCAAAAGTCAGCAAACTCACTTTAACAGTTTAAGCTTCTGTCTTTAATGAGTCAAACTGTTGAAGATGAAGCAAAAAGTCGTATGTCTGATGGGTTTTTTGCTCTTTTGTGCGGTGGCCCTGAGAGTTCAATATTCTGCAAATTAGAAAAAATGCAAATAGACACAACTCTATGCAAATAGACACAAATGCAAATGGACACAAATGCAAATAGACACAACGCGTATGAAGAAACATGAAGACACACAGCAATTAGAAAAAATACAAATACAAATACAGAAGCTCACAACACAATGGAAGAGGACACTACAAAGTGATGCACACGGCTGGGACACACTTGGTTCAGGCTCAGTGGAAACACCTGTATATTTTGTGGCTTTTACAAGACAGTGTGGACTTGCTCAGGCATTTGCTGTGATGCTACAAGTGCATTTCTTTTGTTTCGTGGTTGCACACCAGGTGGCGGTACAGGCCGCACTTTGTTTTCAGTCTGGGCTTTTGCAATGATACAAATGAGCCAGAAGGGGGCAGTAGAACATCACCACAACTGGGCTGTTAGCTTTAGAAACAACCTTTTGTAAACCCGTTTGATAACATATCTGTTTCTCCTCCACACACACACACACACACACACACACACACACACACACACACACACACACACACTGTTCTCTCACAATGAATAATTAACCAAATTAATGATGAGTAGTTTTTCTTCAATGTGCCCTTAACAAAACTGTATTTATTAAAAGAGTGTTTTATTAGAGGAGGTTTAACTTGGCTGTTCTTCAAAGCATTTTTTTTGTTGAAAAAGGATTCAGGCATTCAGACGAACAGTCTTTTAAAGCTCAGCCCTAAAAAACAGGCTCTTTGTGATTCTGCAGGTACCCACCCAGCTGGCCTCTTCAAATATTCACACCTCTCTGCTGCTCATTTTCTGGAGTTGCTCACCACCTGTGTGCTTCTCTTACTTCCTCCCTTTCTGTCTCATCGGCATGAGTGGGGATGGAGGCGGTTGTTGTTGTGCAGAAAGGCGGACAGCCAGGCAGGCGTCCTCTGGCAGAGTCCGTCAGGGGGTCCCAGCCGCCCATGCCTCAGCCCAGCTGGGTTCAGACCAGTCAGGCCTCATGGCGTCTCTGGAGACCAGCTCTCTTTTTGCCTTCACTGTCTAGGACTTTGGCAATATTCACACTTTGTTTCTCCCCAGTTTCCTCTTGCACCTGATTCCGAATCAGAATGAGGGGGAAATAATCCAGTTTGGAAATAGCAATAACTAAATCTTATGTCATTTATCTGATCTGGACCTTCATAACCTGATGCTCCACAGCCTCCCTCACATTTAGTGGCATAAAGTGGCTATGACCAGCCTGCCTACTACAACTATAGCACAACCAGCTTACAGAAGATATTTGTCCAGCTGCTAACTGTCTTCTTCTTAAGGCACCAACCCGATGCCCTCTCGTCTCACTACAATCCTGAAATAGATTAACACTGTATGAACGAGTTATCGGCAGCTCTTTCCTGTAGAATTTGTAGGAACATTGTTTCCTACTTGTTTAACAGGTCTGTCATCTTATTCTTTAGCCCTGCCCTTTAACAGACTGACATTTTAAAATGTTTCTTAGCATCTACGCGTCATTTCTAGCAGTTACAGCTAGTATAGCTGAGCATGAAGGTTCATTCTTGATCTGGGAAACAGTAGCGCGGCAGAAACAAAAGATCTTAACTCATTGGTGGTCAAAAATGATCTGTTGGGAATGGCCTTCTTGATCCATCTCTGGCCTTTCTGACTGGTTTTCAATTTGAATGTAGTGTTTTCAGACAGCTTGTCTGTTCCCTGTGATTATCCAGGCGCTGTCCGTGGTCCTTACCGTTGACCTGTAAAGTGTTTCTTACAGCATGACATATCCTACTCCAGTTTTCCTCACAGGGGAGTTGCTGTCTTTAAGGTGCAACAACAACGATCCTAAGGTGTTAAAGCACTGACTCCTTGTGACTTGAAGACTCTGGTCTCACCAGGATGTATCTGGGGCTCCCTGTTGGTTTAGCAGTGTCCGTTCTGGTCTTAAGAAGAACCAAAACTGGTCACAGCATCGACTAGGACTGTCGCTTGTTGAATGATTCCTTGCCAAAATGCTCACATTACTTTTTAGATTTGTTGTCATGACTATCCATACAGCACAGCTATAGTTTTATATCCTGTATGGACAAAACCGTGAAGGTCTGGGCTGTTTTTGTATTTCTCTGCGTTTGTTTAATTTCGTCACCGTCTACTTCTCTTTCCTTCTCCTGTCTTTATTTTATTTTATTGTTCGTCATTTTATTCGCTCATTGCCTCAACTGTACCCCCCTCCCTCACTCCGCTCTCCCAATCTCTGGCTCTCCAAAGTCAGGGGTCTGGCCACAAAGAGCCGCTAATGGGCTCTCTAAAAAGGGGGCTGGCTAGAGATGTGTGAATGCACCACGGCGACACCGCCACCACACGGAGCGGTGCGAGGCACTTTCAGCCGAGAGAAATACATGCTGTGTGGCAGCGTTCTTCATATTCTGACCCAGATGGAGCTCCGAGAGGGAGATATGTCATCGCTGTGTGTGCATGTGTATATTTATGTATATGCGAGACTAAAAGGCATGCATGTATTTTTAAAGGTTACACCGCCACATGAGAGCGTTTAGTACCTATACACTGCTTAGCAAAAAGCAGAGGATGTTCTTACATCTTGAGTCTTTTTAAAGAGTTATATTTTTCTATTAAAAATCTGGAGGTTGTTGCAAAAGTACAGATATATTCAACCATCATGAATAAGAAGAGCACAGAAGAGGATTTACAGATTTATGCCACATGTTTTTTAGTTTTTATTCCAAAGAAAATATGTTGATCCAGTTTATGAGTCATCAGGAATTATGTTAAAATTGGCAGACATGGACATTCATATACTTTACAGTCTTGGCAGTTATATACATCACATAAGCGGAGCAAAAGAGAACGCAATGAGTGAATGTATGTTGCTCGGTGGTGTAATGGTGGAGGAAGGAAACTAATGCGAGTTAATAGAATTTTTCACTACAGGCTCTTGGGATTGCAGTCCGCGAGTCGCGATGAGGATGAGTCATACGATTCAGAGGCAGCCGGTCGGTCCTTTGTGCTGCAATATACACACATTATCCAGCCCACCCCTGTAGACAAGTCCACACACACACACACACACACACACACACACACACACACACACACTTTCATATGGACAATTTCTTGAATATGAGTTCAGGCTTGATCAGGCTAATAGTGTTGATCTTTGCTTAGCACGACAGGTCTTCTCGGTGCCTTAGCTTTAGTAATCTTTGATAGCAAAAAGGAATGTCCCTGTGCCCTTCTGACAGCTTTACATGCGTACAAACACCTAATTGGCTTCAAATGCCATCATCAGGAATAGGGGACGAAGAAAGGCAGATGAGAGGGAGGCACAGAATATGAGAGAGAGCAGATCGGGGGAGAGGGAAGGGAAGTGAAGGAGGCATGTGGGGGAGGAAGGACGCGGAATAACATGAGAGAAAATTAGGTTGAGAAAAAGAGGCAGTGTCGACAGGAGGTGAAGAAGAAACGTTGTCATGTCGAGAAGAAAAGAGCAGATGCACCAGGGAAGGAAAACGACCAGGAGAAGCATTGACCGAACCCCCAACACCCATCTTCCTGAACACCCCTGGGTGGTCCTTCTTGGCCATTTACTAATTGGCAGATTCTAACGTAGAGTCCCACTGATTACACTGCAAGAACATCCGTAAACCCTCAACTTAAAAGAGTCGAGATTAAAAAGGGACGCTGCAACTATTGAACGCAAAAGAATCCTGTTTACTCTGTCAGTAAGATAAACCAGCTAGTGTCCTAGTGGCATTTCACTGCCATTTAGCCCAAAGAAGCAACACCTCTAGAGGTAATTAGTCCAATTATGAGGCTGATATCTGCCTTTCTCAGAGCCTCACCGCGCGTTTAAAGATTGTGTCATTAATGATGTCGCTTTTGTGCCATTTGCATTAATCACCGCAGAGGAGAAGCTTAACGCGTCAGGTGCATTGTTTGGTTTCGACAGTTGATGCGGAGATGCAGGGTTTGCAGGGTTTGCAGTCGGTCACATTTACACACCTGTGCCGCCGCAGCTCGACAGTATTACGTCGGCACACGGCGGCACAGACGGTAGCGTCAGGTGGTGACATTTGGTTGCTCGCTCAAAGCGTCAGCATTTGTTGTAAAGTATGAATTGGAATTAGTTATAATATTAGTTCAATATTAGAGAAAAGTAGCAATAAAGTAAAAGAAAATTAATGATGTAATGTGAATTCAGCAGCAATAGATAAACCTAAATGTATTAAAGAGTTCTATCGAAGCCCTGCATGGAAAATAACTTCTAAAACTTGCTTTTTAACAAGCACAAGCCCCACAAATTAACTTAAAGAGAACTTGAGATCACGTGAAACAAGAAGATTCACAAGTCAAGTCTTGTTACTATTTCACTGGAGCGGTTGCTAAGATACTAGTGCAGTTGATGAATTGATTCATTACTTGAAGCAACAGTTTCACGAGTGTGATTAAAGTTCATTACTTCCCTCGCAGAGAAATTTAACTTGGGTTTCAGCTTGATACGAGCCGTCAAAAGGCATTTTGAAAGCGTGGCATGCAGGAAGATAATTACCAAAGGGAAGCTTCATCATTTAAATCGGAGGTTATTGGTCGACGTTTTTCATAAACTATCTTGCTAATTCTGAAATTGGACAGTACAAATTGGCAACTCGTGTGACGGCTGTTAAGACGCTCTAGACTGGACTAAAAGCAACCAGCTTTTCTCTTGCCTCTCATCTGTATTTTGGAATCTTGGTGGTTTGAACCCTTCAATGGCCGTCGTTCACGCGGGGTCAAGCCGAACTTTTACATTTCTGAGTAGCTTGTTGTGGTTTTACTCCTGCTAATAAAGGAGGCTTGATTGAGCATCCCTCTCGTTCTTTCTTTACATACGTGGACGATGTTGTGGGCCCTCTCGTCCCTCCTGCATCTCGATGTCTCCCTGAAGGGGTTTTCAGGGTTGAGATGGCGGCCTCTTAATGCGGGTTCAGGCTCAAGTGTGAGCTCGGTCCTCAGGCAGCCACACCGAGAGCAGAGCGGCAGCGACGGCTTCACTCGAGAGACCCTGCTGACTAATATCCATAGGCTTGAATTACAGTTGTCAACAAGGAGCATACATTCCAGAGACTAATCCTTGTAAATGTGATATGTGTTTCTGGAGCATCAGTCAATGTAAAATATAGTAATGTGGCTACTTTTCTTCAAACGTAACCTCTCAAGTTTTGTATTTCACATTATAGAGGATCGATGTCTATGTGTTGAAAACCTGCAGGTTTCCATGACATCCGGAGAGACAACACAATGTTCACTGACTAGAAAAATATACTTCAGCCAGAGAGCAGAAATATCATAGTCTTATTTTTAAACATTGGTTATATAGTGTTCTGTTTGGGTTACTTTTTTCCAAATCCCTTCACAGGTGTTTGCTCCTGTTTGGTGGAGGTGTCGTATGTAAAACTACAGAGCCACAAATTAGGAGTTGCCGCTGATTTTTGGCCTAAACTGACGGTTACAAATATTTGTTCTAAAGAAACCGACATTGGTTTGTTGGACGCCCTGTGTCTATTTCTGTAGCTCGCTTTGAAAGCTCGCAATGGACGAGTAACGGCTGATTTGTGAAGGTGAAATGAGGAGTTATCTCCACGATGCCTCCTCATTTCACCGCGAAGACCTAAATACGAATACCTAAATCCAGCTGACTGGAGTTCTCTGCCATCATTGCGGTTGTTGTTAAATTATTCCTTGTTCAGTTTGACCCAACTTTACATTTAATTTACAGTGAATGAAAGTGACTCCTGTCAGTGTGTGCCAGGCACTTTTACCTCAGAACAACGGATGTCCAAAGTCCTCCCACTTTGCTATTCTATTCAAGAAGACAACACGGGACATAACCTTTTCTTTTAAGGTCCTCTGAGAATCAGTCAAAGAACTACATTCATTTGCTGCAGTATTAACAATTATTACACCCTGCCAGCCGCAGGACATTGACTACACCAATGTTAATACAAAATAATTCAGTAGCGCTAAACATAACGCTAAACATAACCTTTGGTGAATGAAAACTTGCATAATCTTTTTTTGGGGAGGTTTAAATAAGAATTTTTAAAGTGTATTTAAAATAAAAAAACGAGACCCTTGAAAGTCCCTGCATTTTATGTCCCTTGTGTCTTTGCAGCCGTCTCTTCCTCGCAGCTCGTCGTTCCTCGCGGCCTCTTCTTCATAACATTACAGAATAGGAAAGGCCGCTGGCTTTTTCCCCCAGTTGATCAACTCCACCGGGACCTTTTATGGGAGATATTTCCCGTGCTTCATTTGATGTTGCTGGTGTTGATATTGTGTTTGAAGTTTGTGTTTTTGATGCTCATAGTTCCTCAGAGACATTAAGATAATGACGCAAAACAAAACAAAAAAAAAAGTGAAGTGTTGTTGACAGAAATTTGCATTGAAAATGTGACTTGGCGGTCAATAGCAGTTTTTGAAGATGGTGAGGTAAATGTTGCCCAGAGTCATGTATGAGATGCTGCATCTGCCGAGATGTACCCACGGATCAATTCTACCAACATTATGTTTTGTTTTGCTGAACAGCCTCGTGGCTATACATACATAACTGCAGATGGAAAGACAAGTAGGATGCTGCAGACTTTTTCAGCTGTGTGTCTGCCAGATCAATAAACACATTCTTATTTTTTTTTTGTCTCTTTGTGAAGAACAACTTGAGGAGGATAAATTGCACAGTAATGGAGGTAAAGTATTGTCATCTGAGTTCAAAAACACTCATTTTGGCTGCCCACCTTCAATTATTTGCATCTGCTGCTCTCTTCTGTCTCATTCAACAGAAAGTTTAGTTTGGGTAGAAGTCGGCTTGTGTTATGACTCATGCAGCTTTGACCTGTTCTGTTTTGGTGCAGTCCTCCATTTTTCTCGTTCTCTTTGCTCCATCCATTCATGCTTAATCTGCTCCACATCAACATATTTGAACACCACTGCGCTACGTGTTCCCATCAGATAACAGCGGCGTTAATCTTCATTACCTAAATTGAGCATATTTGCTGGTCGTGACTACCCGCCGCTGCTCTTACTGCTGCAATCAAGAAGTAGAGCTAATGGATGTTTTAGTATCAAGTGCATGACAAGAACCACTTTAGTTTAACACGAGACACCATATTACACAGGTGTTCCCCCAAATTATGAAATAATAACATATTTTCTCACTCACCAAAGTGGTATTCAGACTTTGAGACGTTATCCAATGAGATATCTACACTGGTGATACTAATTCAACAGCAACATTTTTACTTCATAAGAACGAGGTTTCAATAGTTTTCATAGGGACTAATTCTTCAGTATAAAGTAGTTCCAATGAAAGTTATGAGGTTAATGGAAAAGCTGTGATCAGCATGAACAAAAATCCATTTACCTCCATTTCATAGTTTTAAAGGTAGAAGGCTTACAGAGATGTATCTCAAAGCCCGGGCAGTTTCAACCAAAACTATATGCAAACTAAATTACAGATAAGCAAGGACTTTGTTTATATTTATTTGTAATTGGTGTGAACATGTATTTTAAACAGTTTATCACAACCAGGTGTTCTGTTGCCGTTCAATCATTCTCTATCTCTGTGCTCTTCCAACAGGGAGCCAGGCGAAGCAGGACTGGTCCATCCAGTGGCCCACCTCTGAATCAGGCAAAGAAAACACTCCGGTGTGCCAGCCAGAGGTCAGTCAGTGGATCCGGTACCAGCTCTCCCAGAGCCCCAAAGTCCAGTCCAAGTACAACCAGCACATGTGCCACAGCCCCCAGGCCCTGGCTCCCCCTTTGTATGCCGATCGACTGACCGTCGACAGCCCAGCCACAGGGCTCTTCCCTCCCTTGGACTTTGGTCATCGCTCCCTGCCCCCGTCGCCCCGCCAGAGACATTTTGGCCACACACCTCCTCGGACTCCCTTGGTGGTCAACACCATGACCCCACCTGGCACTCCCCCAATGAGGCGAAGGAACAAAGTGAAGGCCCCGGGCACGCCTCCTCCGCCGAGCCGCAAGCTCATCCATCTGCTGCCGGGCTTCACCGCACTGCACCGCAGCAAATCCCACGAGTTCCAGCTGGGGAACCGCTTGGATGACGCACAGACACCAAAGTAAGTGATAACCTCTGGATTTTTAATGACAAACAGGTTTATTAATGCAGGAAGGAGAAGTAGACAAAAACATATGTTGTATTCCGATGTTATTATATGCTTATAAGATGAAAAACACAAAATAATATACATATATATGGTGAAAAAAAACAGTCAAGCCTGTACGTCCGTCGCTACTGAAACTCCACACTTCTATGGTCTCCTAAAGGATTACAAATAACGGTTTCATTGACATCATTTATCAGCTTTGTGTTATAGATCAGTCTGATCTTATAAAGTCTTGTGGAGAGCGAGGGCAGTGATCGCACGTTAAGCGAGCGCTCTACCATTTCAAGTCCCCAGTGAACAGTCCTACATTGCACCGCAGCAAAAGTTGAGTAGTTGTTTGGTTTTTACGATAACACGCTGGGTGGTCACCTTAAAAACCAGACGCCAAAGAGCAGGTGGCCGACTGGTTAAGGTGGTGATGGACTCTCACATGTACTGAGACAAAACCTGATGAGTCCAATGACTAATAGTAACACAAAAATGCTGCCTTTTTCCTTTCAATCTCACTTTTCCAGCAGTTTTTCTTTGCATAATCCCCAAATAGAAATGTGCGTTCTTTACACATTTGTAAAGATATTAAATCATATTTCACGTCTTGCTATTTGAAAATGAATTGATTTTTAACAGCATACCTAGCGTTAGAGACAATAATAATCAAGGGAGGAAGTATGCGGATGCCACTAAAGTATGTAAATATTATTAGCCAGTGTGTCAAAAGTAAAAGTACTAAAAGTTTAGAAAATGTGTTTGTGCTTGGAAGGAAAATGATGCGGAAGCATCAACAAAATTATGCCAAATATTCTTGTAATTTAGGACTGAGGCAGCTTGGTTTTTATTGCACGCATTTGTTTGTTGAAATGATCTTGTTTATAAAGTTTCATGGAGACAATATTCAGAGTTGCTGTCGGTCAGTCAATTTCGGCAGATGGCCTGCCTGAAGCGAACATTGAGAGATTCAGTCCTCTCTCTCTCGCTCATCTGTACAAGTTCTCACGATGTAATTCCATCTGATCCATGTAGCACAGTTAGGGCCCCACCTTCCCTTTCAGTAGTTCTCGAGCATAATCTTCCACCAGAGCCCAATCAGATTAATTCCTGCATGGGAGGACATCATTGCCCATAAAGAACCAACGGCCTGTCGGTTGAGATAAGGGCCCCCGGGCTGAGTTCCTGACCGGGCATGCCTGTGTCTGGTGCTATGCTGATCAGATTTGGCCACAAACAGGGTCCACCACTGCGAGGTAATCAGGAACCAGAGTCCGCCTCAGGAGAGCTGCACTCATTTTGATAATGCCATTAGATGACAGTGCCCTATCACTGCTACACTTGGTAAGTTAATATTTGGGAGTCGTCCCCTGCTTTCACGATGGCCATCTGGGTTATAGTTGGTGTGTGCTTGGTTACATCCACACATGTCCATGCACGCCGGCGTGTGCATCTGTATCTGCACAGTGAGGGGTGGATCATAGCTGCGGTGAATAGGCTCAAACGGCATTAGAGAATTGATTACCGGTCCCTGAGCGCTGATAGACTGCAGGCTGTAAGTTGAGCCCCTGTAATCAATGGCCTGTGTGTGCCTGGAAATGTTGCAACTCATTGAGACGGGGCAGATCTGCTGGCTTCTCTGATAGCCAAGTACCTCTCGTAATACATCATAATTGGTTGGAGGATGGTGCTGGCAAGCATCAAGTTGGTGGTTCAGTTCTGGCGTGAGGCTCTCATCCTTGTTTGCTTCTTATCTGCATGCGCGAGGGAATTGGCTTCGTTGTAAAGTTGGTGTCTGCTTTTTCGTTGATGCAAGAGTACATACCTGGAGTTAGAAGACTGAAAGTTCGTAACATACTATATTTTCTTAAATCATGCATTGAGATTGAGATAATAGGTAAAAACGATTTATCGCCCAGCTCTACTTCCACAGATGAAAAACAAAATGCAAAAATTTCACCACAGCAAACCAAACCCTGAATAAAATATCTAAAATATTATAGAAAAGGCTAGTTTAATGCTGCTTTTCTGTGATTCCTGATCCCTTCCATACTACCTGTATTTCCCCCTATTACCAACCTCACGGTTTTAATCAGCTCTCAGTGCTCCTTAGGTCTTCATTTCCTCTTGCTTAATTAACCAGGGATTACCCTCTGACCCCAAGAGACATTTCTCTCCCTTTGTCTTAATGAGCTGCATAATACAGCACAAAGACTATGTCGCTGAATGTGCAAGAGTGCCCAGTAACTATGTTGAAGAGAAACTGAGGTTTGGTTTTGGCACTGACAGATGAGTGACATTTTATTTTATGAAATGTAATAATTGCCCATTGTCCTTTTGCTTTGGAAACATTCAACTAATTACATTACATTTAAAAAAAACCTAAATATCAACTTATAAAAGATGACTTAATTGCTGTTCCACACGTTATACATGGACATATGAACGTTAGTTAATTGTACTCTGCTTTGCTGGAGCATTTTCTCCTTTTGGTATGCTATAGTCACAACAATCTGAAAACTGGAGAAATTACACTAGTAACTCTAGAAAACATATTTTGTAAGGTTGGCTACGTTCTGCTTTGTCACTAAAGTTGCCTTCAAGTGCTTTCAGGGCATCCGGCCTTTCCAATGAGTAATAAACTTCATATTAATGTTTATTCGTCTTCAGCTGCACAAGATGTTTTTCAGATACTGTACCTGATTGTCTCAGCAATCATGATTTGAAAATTGTTTCCAGACGCTTCTATTGTAAAAACTCAGCAAACACTCCGATATGCCTGTGCAGACCTTATTTCTTCTCCCTCATGGCTTTGTTCTTCTTGGTTTAATGGGCTTTTCTGTGAGATAATGTGTTTCCCTTTCAGCCTGCAGAAAACTGCAGGCTGGTTTCTATCGCCCGTAGGTGTAATGAGCAAATTGCCTCCTTACCAAATGTGCTTAGTAATATCTATAATTCCAAGAAAAACTCACCCTGAGATGAAACCACCGCCAATTCTGCAAGTTGTAATGCATAAGAAAGCAAACTTTCACCTGTGTCCGGGAATTGTTAATCTTCTTTCTCATCGCCTGTCAAGTGCAAGTCCAAATATATTCAGTTGTGTTTCAGCCCCGGTTTGGTGCTCCGTCTACTGACGAAGATATTTGGGTCTGTTTGGCTCACTACAGTAGACTCGATATGGTAATTCTCGGTTGACCCTCGTTTTCTAAGGCAGCGCAGAGCTGTAGAGTGAGACGTTGATTCTCGGGAGGATTAGCAGCACTTGCTCCACATTTTCCTTCAAAGATGTTGCTTAATGGAGCTTTAAACTTTACCCAGGAAGAAGAATTTAAGAAGAGGGATACATGTTTGATTATATACTGTATGCCCATCACAGTTTCTCATCTCTTTGTCTATAGCCAACTTTCCATTCAATTCTCAAGCAAACTTTTGAAATTTTGCAAAAAAAAAGACTCGACTGGTTTGGAGTGAATGAACTCGGTGTTAGTTAGCGCTATAGGCTGCTCATGGCTGTAATCCGCCAGTAAACAGAGTAGAAGAAGTAGAGGTTAAAAACTGAAAACAAAACAAGTCGACTTGGCCATCGAACAATCTACATGAGAAAAATGGAGGGAGGCCGTCAGGAATTTGTTTGCATTGGGTTTTAATTGTCACGTTAGCTAGTATCGGCCATATTCCATGGTGTCCGGAGGCAAAGACCAGCATTTTTCATGCTTCTATCAGAGGAAGGCAGCAATAGCGGGAACAGCGGATCAGTGGAAGTTAAATGTTCGCGGCAAAGGTGTTTCCATAATCCACATAGCGCATCAACTATTATCTGATAAATGCAAAAACCATCTCAAGCCAAATTTGTTATCAAATGTTTCCATTTCCCTTCGACTTTGTAAAAAATATCCTGATTTGCTTAATAGTTTGCTTAATATTTGCTTTAATTGACAGCAACTCAACTCGGAGATAGATACTGAGCAGATTCTTCTTGTTCCTGTGGTAATGACTCAGGCTCTTGATAGGCCAAATTTAAAAAATCACATTTAAATACTGATTTACTTTGTGTTTTGTAATTTTTTTGTAATTTGTGTTTTGTAATTTTGCAAATTAAACCAAAATGAAAACCATAGATTCTTAACGTTTTCGAGTCTCATGACAGAAGCCCTTTATAAGAACCTAACTATTTGTTTGGTTCATTTGAGTCTGTGTCTAAAATGTGAGCTAACCTCATAGATACAAGATTGAAGATGTTGACGTTTGATAGCCAGATGTTCCTCATGCTTGAAAAGGCCAACATAATGAAATGAACATCGATCACAGCAAAAACGTGTTAACAATGTCAATGATTTCTCAAATTCTGATGAAGTCACAATAAGAGGGCAGTTGTAGCTCAGTGGGTAGACGTTTGACCAGTAGATTGGTGTCTAAACGCAAAGGGTCATACATCCATGAATTTGACACATCCTAAGCATGGAGCAGAAGTCAAATTTCATGAAGTTCTATTTTGTACATAAAGAAATAAAGTATTTTTTTTTCAATAATAGATTCTTACCCAACAATTCCACAATAGAAATGGACATTTTTTATTTCAATTTCCTCCAAAGGATACAAAAAGATTTACTTTTGGATCTACATGATTTCAAATACAACCCATGAGCTTTAAACTAACTAATCTTGACAAAAAGGATCATTTATTTGGAGTTAGTCGCCAAGCTAGAGATGCTAATTCATTTTTTTGGGACCGATAGTCAATACCCTCATTAATCGATCATTAACTGTTAACTGACAAGATAGGTGCCCTTCATGCAGGGGTGCTGTGGTTGAAGTGCCTAACAAGCTGCAACGATAACCCGATGCACAAACGGCTTAAATACATCATATTTGTGATGTTGGGCTAAACAAATTGAATTGAAAATTAAATGTATCACCAGCTGCATTGTATATCCAAAACAGAGTCCCCAGTTTACCCGTCTGGGAGA